TATTTCCTCACGTCTTTCATAAACATATACCAACTAAAATTTAAATATGTTAGATTAATCGTATCGTTTGCATTTTGACAAATGCTACTGCAAGTTCAAGTACCCCTTTGGGGTTTTACGTTTTCTTCTAAATACTTTTTTTTTGTAGGAGGAATCGATTGGAATTCTTCCACGTACGCTCGACGTCATATTCAATTCTCTGGTTAATCGAACCGACAAATGTGTCTTCAGACCCGATGGCCGCAACGGCTTCATCGTATGTGACGAACTGGAGGCAGCACTGGCACGCCGTCGCATGGAACTGGAACATTCGGACAGCGGTATCGAATTGGCCAATCGTTATGTTGAACGCCGCAGGGTTAGTTAGATTTAAAAAAAAAAAAAAAATTGAATATCTAAAAATCTAAAGATAGCGATTATAGCGTTTATAGCGATTATAGCGCTTTCGTACAGATCTAGCGTTCAACTCAACCTGTAATGTTAGGTTCTTGCATGGTTTTTGACTGCAGCAGCGGAAGACAGTGAAGAGTGCCAGCGCTTTATTTACCAACAAAGCTTCACTTCGTTGGAACGAACCGGAGCATCGCACAAACTATCCAACGGAGGGAAAACGTTAGTCGTATCGAAGCGGCCAGTTAGTAGCGTTAATCGTAGCAAAAAGTGACGCAAGTTGAACTCTCGAAACTTTGATGCCCAGGGTTTTCGGGAAGGGTATGTGTAGGGAAAATTAATGGAAGGAAAAGGAGGGCAAAGACAGTTAGTAAGTGGCGACGGTAGATAATGTGGAATTATTTAGAATATTTTAGAAGTGTTAAAAATTAGTGGCTGAAGAGAAGTAGGTCGAAGTGTTAGGAATTAATGGATGGAAGGAAGTTGGTCGGGGACTTAGGATTATACAGCCTGTTTAACACTCCGTCCCTTCTTTTTATGACAAAATTGGTACTAGTACAGATAGTCTATTGCAGTTAGCTTGCTTCTAAGCAAATCTCGGAAAGGGAGCAGCAACAGCCTTATCAGCGGCGAGTGGTTGTTGCTAGCATATGCTGTTGCTCGGATTCTTTTAAGTTCCTCAGTTTCTCACAGATAGTGAGTGTAAAAAGGGTTCTGAGGGTTTTAAAATAGATATCTGCTCAAAATAGGTTAGTTTTCAGAGGTAGATATATTTGCTTGCTAGATTTGCCCTCCATGCTTTTTCACATGTGTAACATGCGGGGGAGGACCAGAGGCCTGCGCGGTTGGAGGGCAATTCGGTGAAATCCGCGGAGAAAATTCACTCGAACCAACAAACAATGCTTTATAAAAAAAGCCAAAAACACACACAACAAAGACGAATCGCGAAGCACAGGCGATTCGGATTGTAAGCACGAAAGATCTGGCAGCAGCTCCAAGCTTCGCAGCACAATAACCTTGTTCAACAAAACAAGAACCATCTCATTTCTAATCACATCATTACATTATCACGGAGAGGAGAACTCGAATCAGGGGACGGGACATTTGCATATCGCATGGAATCGAAGGGCAACTGGGCAAGTCGAAGGGAATTAGCCGTCAACTTCATTTCCTTGATGTTAACACCTTCCTTTTGCAGCACATGTTACAGTTTTGATAATCTTTATATATTCAAACCCGCACAGATGTAATTGATACACTAGCATTATCAGTTTATATAAGTATTGCTTTCAACAACTTTTGCGCAGTTACATCAAAACAAATACCATTGGCACTTCAGCATTACCTGTATATCAGCTTTTTTTTTTCACAATCTTTATATGTAGTTATGCTGAAAAATATGGGCCAGGAATAGATAAGCATTGCTGACTTTTCATGCGCCTGAAAACCTGTGCGAAGTATTAGATTAAGTTGCTAAAACTTCACCTTAATGAGTGTTGTAGAAATTTTAAAGATACAAACAGTGAATATTGCTGGCATGCAGATTAAGAGAGAACGGGGGTCTAAAATCTTCTGTGTGCTAACATATTTAGTTTGTTTGGCGTTATTAGCCCATCGTTGAGAGGAACACAATCGAATTTTGATAATTAATGAAAAACTGGAAGTGCCATTTAGACCTCCCAAATAAACAAGTCTATATGTGCAATAATTTGGAGGCCTATCTGTGTTTCATCTCTGAACTGTAAACACAGATGGCAAAATCGGTGTGGAAGGGATGGGAATCATAAGTACAGTGCCCCATTCCGTCACGTTGATCACCGCAAGAAGATGAAAAAGGAAGGGAGGGAAATGAAGGTGAGTGTTAAAGGAGACTATAGAAGTATAATGTTGCGTTGCAGTAGAAGGAAAAGTAAACACGTAACAGATAAGCCTCTGTTTTGCTTTTTTTTTCGTCGGTTTGACGATTGAAACGTTTGCACACGCACAGAAACAGACCCACACACACACATATACATACACACACACATACACACACCCCTCTACAATATGTTCTTACATTGCGTAGATGCAAAAAAATATATATGAAGACGCCGAATAAACCACCAGAGCTGTTGTAAAAATCTGCTTGAGCGGCTGTATGAAGTCCAGAATAGAGGATGGAGAAGTTGCAAGCTGCATCTGGCGAAGAAACACGATAGTGGAACAAAAATTGATCA